AGAGATTTTTTTAAAGGTGTGTGTGTGTGTGTGTGTGTGTGTGTGTGTGTGTGTGTGTGTGTGTAGGACTTGACAATCATATTTTATTGGCTCTAATTTTAAAACCCTTTTTAATGATTCCTAGCAGAGGATTGTTTTCTCCTTTTAGAAAAGCAGTATCTTCTCAGTGTCTCATGACAAAACATCATGATTCCAGATGCCAGGATACCTCAGTCTAATCCAGAGTGTTACATTAGAAGGTGCATGGTTTAAAATTCCATCATGGGATTTTCCCATTCAAAAGGATGTCTAAAGGATGGGGTACACTTTGTGCAGCCTTATGGAACCAAATGTTTATTTTTTTCCATCATGATGTTTCTACCAGACCTAGGTAACTGAAGTTTTAAGAAATGGAAGATATTCTCTACAGTTGTTTAGGCAGTACTAGTGTTCAGGTGAGGCCCACAGGAGGCATAGAAAACCTCGAACTTAGAAATCTTGTAAGTTGATTGTTCTAATATTTGTGAGAGATGAGTTAATCAGTTGTGGTATCAAAAGATGACAGCAAGAATATTGTCATCTTTTACAAGCAAGAATTCAAACCCCTGTGTGCTTGAATAGTGAACACAGGAGTCCAAGTGAGAACAAGAATGTGGAATGTATTTTTATTTTGTAAGAGTTTTTCATTTGTCTAAAGATCAAAATAGTAAGCTTAGTGTGATGGGCAAATGTCACCACACCATGGGCACTGGCGATTAGTATTCAGTTATTTTAACTTTTATAACTTTTAAGTGACCTACAAGTATACTTAATTTAGTACATATCATTAATTTAGTATATAGCATACACATTCGAGGTCCAGACAACACAGTTATAGTCCTGAACATACATTTGCTCACATTTTTAAAAATATATACAATCTAGTATAAATTCAGAAACCCAGAAGGATAGTAAAATTAATATTTATCTTGTTCTAAGAGTAATTTGGAGAAAATGAGCATTATAAATTTGATCCAATAAATAATTTCTGAAGCCCTCCATGTACTTTTATCTAATCAGTATGTTCTAGGGTTCAATGTTATGAGAGTTGACTTTCAAAATGCAAAATCCTTTTCCCACCTTAGTCTGGATTCGGTACACCAGCTGGGGCCTGCTGGCTCTGTCCTGGTGGATGGTTGAGATACCAGGCTGCCTGGCTCCATGACGACACCTTCTAGCTTCACTGAGCCACATCATTTGAAGGATATGTAGTGGTGTCTGACCACTGAATGCTTACAAGTGTCATGGATACTGCAAGAATCTGATACTTCTGCATAGGAAGAAATTGTATTTTTCTTAAAAAGCAGAAGATACAGAAGATAGTTTATGTGAACCTATTATTGATCTCAAAGTAACATAATTTAGATTTTGTTGCATTATTGGTAACTACAGCATTTTAATTTTTAGGGACTAATGACATTATTCTAATTTTAATTCACAGAAAGAATGCAAGAAAAATCAAGTTCTTAACTTTAATGTAGACAAAAATGCTATAAGTTGTAATAAATAGCATTATATTGTCCCATTTATTATATATAGCATCAGCATAAAATAAAAATATTCCTTCAGCCTTACATGTAGTTTCACAGACAGATGAATGTATTAAACAATTGTTTTTGCAATTGCATCACTTTTATTGAAGACAATTGAATGGAAAGGCATTGTATTTATTACCTTTTATCTACCTGTAGTTCTTAAAGTCTAGATATGAAAGAGTTCCTCAAATTCAGAAAAGGAATTGGAAAATTAAAATTGACCAGTCTGTTGGAATTAGAACAAAATATAAGCAAATAGAATAACTTCAAAGAGAATTTACTTGCTAAGAATATATGAAATCTATAGAAAGTAAGTCTATTAATATAACAAATTTAAACATGTTTGTAAATATTATTAATTTTGAATATTTATTAAGTCTAGAAAGATAAAGCAACCCAAGCATAAACACTTTATAAATACCCAAATTAATTTTTAATTTGTGCTCTAGTTGCTTAGTTTTTCTGAGCATGTCATTTATGCTCAGAGTCATATTTTATTTTATTATCCTTATTTAAGCATTAAGGATAATAAATTAAAAATAAGAAGCTTATTATCTTATATTCAAATGTATACATATCTAATTTAAGACAACAGAACTTGAGTAGATAAAAATTAAAATATTTTGAAGTCTTGTTTCTTAGTTCTTTTTTTTTAATTGTAAGAAATACAAAACTTCAGATATAAGTTCTTGGAAAAGTTTCTGGAAAAGTCATTAATAAAGACTTCTAAAGCATGAAAATTTAGTTTAATAAAGTAACACGACTTGCGATGTTTGGAATATTAGGAAGTAAACATCAGAAGACGTATACTCTAAGTTTGTCTTAAGTAACACCGAAAGTTTCTTTTTTATTTGTATTTTTAAAATTTTAATGCATAATTTAGTAATTGTCTCAAATAAATCAAATTAGACTGGATTAATTAATTTCTCTTCTACATTTTCATTGCATCTCACACAATGTAATAGTTAAATAAAAGCTTATTGAAAGTTGAAGGAATTAAGATTATTAAATAAAAAGCCTCAGCATTGCACTTCACCGATATCTTTCTGAATATACATTACTATTGTACATGACAAAAGTCCACTGAACCAGAAAAACACCTGTAGCAGAAATGCATTCATGAAAATGATTACATTTTTAAAACATTTAACCACCAGCTGTTACAGTCCCATGTACGGTTCTATATTAAAGTGTAGCTTTTAAGATATTATATTTTATAAACGATATAAGATGACCTTATAAAGATTTCACCTTCTACAAAACATAAAGATGTCATGTAAATTAATGTAAAAATCTATTTCAACATAAAGAATACTAATTATCTATTCACTAAAATAACTTGCAATGATTAAAAAGCTGTTAGATTTTCTAACACACACTGTCGATTCCTAGCTTTGGTGTTCAGAAAGTGTTTCTTTAAATGCAAGACAATATTTCCTATTGGTTCTCTTTCTAAGAACTGAATAATAACCTTAACAAAACAAACTAATTATATCCATGCATTCTCTAAATTGTTACTTCCCTTTATACCAATTTGATATCCTCAGATTAGAAGTTGTTAGGCAGTTAGATTTTGTATCAGAAGTTGCTCAACCATTCAAAATACAATTTGTTTATTATCTGAAACAGGACCATTGATTACAAATTATATCACAGGTTTGGGAGACAAATTGTTATATTCTACAATCAGAAGGCAATTAGAGTAGATATTAATTCTTTGTATTGGCTTAAAAGGCTTACTGACAAAAGTAGACATGTTCAAATTTTAAGTCATGCTTATATTATTTTTCCATATTTAGGAACATGTTGAGGTTTGCTCATTGTTTTAGTTAATTTCTAAATATCTCAATTTTCTTAACATAAAAATGCAGTAAAAAATATCTTACTTTACTTCATACCAGGTGATGTTCCAAGCATGTTACAAATGTTAATTAACTTCATGCTCATAATAGCCCTAAGTGGTGGGTACCATCATTAGCCTCATTTTATAGATAGGAAGACTGATGCACAGAGAAGTTAGGCATTTTACCCATGGTTGCACAACTAATAAGTGGTGGAGCTAAAGTCTGAGCCCAGACTCTTGGGTCTGTGTTCTCATCCACAGTGTTTTGCTTTTTGCTGTGAGCCTTTCTATGCTAGGATATAATCTGGTGATTTTTCTTAGAGTTATATGTAGACTTAAGACTTTCCTTTTGGAAAGAAACTTGTGAGGGTTAAATATTAATGTATCTGACTTTAAAAAAAGTTAGGAGAGGTATCCTTCTAGGCCTGGAGTTGGCTTCTTTTTTTTTTTTTTTTCTGTAAAAGGCCAAGTAGTAATTATTTTAGGCTTTTGTGGGGGGAAGTTACATGTTCTCTGTTGAAACTACTCCACTCTTCCATTGTAGCACAAAAGCAGCCATGGACAATGTGTAAATGAATGGGCATGGCTCTGTAACAATAAAATGTTATTTGTAGACATTGAAATTTCATGGAAGTTT